GAGAGCATCGCTTATGAGCAGCTGGGACCAACTTGGAAGGATGTTTCAATGAAGTCTTCTCATGCTGCTCAGGCCTCTCTGATCCACGTGTGAGAACCGTAGAAACGAATAAGGGGAAGACGGGAGTTCCGTGCACTGGGCCCTCTGGGCCCAAACCGCAATAAATGAAGGCCAAACTTAGTAGCAGACTAAGCCCTAAACCGCCTAGACCCTAAACCTGTCCAGAATTCTTTCACACCGTACGACCCTACCCTGTTGCATCGGCCCGGCCGCGAAACTGTGAAACTCCTGACTCGAGCAGGGTTTTGGGGTCGACTGCTGTACAAATCTCTAATAAGGGGCAAACAGGTGATACTATTATTCAGGGCTCCTTACTATTATTCTAGTATGATATACCCCAGAACCCTATTCTAATATTCAAGATCTTCATTTCGAACCGCTTCCACCCTGGATCCGTGAAACGCGGGAGGAATCGGAGCAGTGTTTAAAGCCGACGTAAACTCCAAAGTCTCCAACACCTAAACCCCGCCTAGGCAAGTCCGAGAGTGAGTGCTGAAACCCCCTGAGTACTGATAACTTAAGGAGACTACAGCAACAGAAATGGTAAGCCCTTCAGCGCCCTAAACGCTCTAGAGAAAATAAACCCGCGAGCCTTACACCCCTTAAGCCCCAAGCCCCCCTAGCCAGGCAGGAGGCAAACAACAAAAACAATCAATGCCCAAAGCTTGCTCAGGCACCGACTTCACCAGCACGCCGATGCCCGAGGTGGGTCTTTGATGAGCCCGCTTTTGAGGGTGTAGGACTTATGGTTTATAGGTTTGGGGCTCATAGGGTTTATACTGGTTACAGGCGTTTCCTTTGGGGCTTCGGGCAAAAAGATGTTTGGGCTCATGGGCTTAGGGGTTTAGGGCCTGGAGGTTTAGGGGAGAGCTGACTGGGAGGTCTCATGCGCGTTTTCATCGGCACGGTTCGGGAGAGAGGGACAGACAGAGGCACTGAGCCTTATGTGGCGATTTGAATTCGATTGCATTACTTTTGTCGTGAAGAACTTGGGCGCCAGGCTGCTGCTTGCGGTGTTCTGTCTGAGAAGTTTACGCGATGCGAAATGAACTGAGGGCTCTGCTTCAGCAAAGTTATGTAATCCGGTTATGTAATCCCGGTCAATGAACGGCTGATTTTTGGCTAAAGACTCCACTTGCTTCGTGTCGGCAAACGAACAGGAGCCACCGGTCAATGACCGGCTGATGTAATTTAAGATCCCAGCGACATCTGCATTCTGCCGTCTCTCGTTGAGGTGCTGTTTGCGTTACGATGCGTTACGCAACTCTCCCCAAACCGTCAACCGTCTTCGGTTTCGGCTACGTCATCCGATTCTTGAAGCCCGGAGGGGAGTCTGTGTATAGGCTTCCGGAGGTTTCGTGGTCAGTATTAACTTCATACCACAGGACCTGTATTTCGTAGGGTGCTTGACTACATCCATACTGTAGCAAACCCCAAAACCCGCTCAAATTGTTAAGGCCTGACTTTGTCATAGTTGGGTAACATTTTACACTTGTTGATGGGTGCTTGGTAAGTTCAATACAGGAACAGAAATGTAGATTCTTAATACTATCTTAACCATGACTAGCCGGCTTGAAGCTGCCCTTCGAGCTGTCAGGCAAACGACAGTGGCTTTGAGCCCTGGCCCAATAAGTTGTTTGTTTTCTTGCCATTTCGGTGGGTGATCAATGTCGCGTTTTGAGATTCCAATCCACCGTCTTGCGGTTCTGGAGCTTCTTTACTCAGGGAGGCAGTGGGTAACGAGAGGCTCTTCGTGGTGGCGGTGCTGCAGAAGCCCTAACCCAAAGCTGAGGAGTTTCCGGTCGCGCAGGAGAAGAAGGACAACAAGATTCTGACAAACGCTTCGTGGCCCTACAGCCTGCTAGAGCTTGAGCGTTTAGGGGTCAGTGTCTGGAGTAGAGCTTAAGGGCCTAGTTTTACGTCTTAGCTGAGACTTGAGTGGGAATTCCACAGCTGGGGTGACAGGTAAGCCTGTTGGGAGTGCATTGCCGACGAGCATCATTGGAATCACTGAAAAACTGATTGGAATGAATGAAATGGAACAACACCCTAAATCGTCGACCCAGGGGCCGAATCGTGGTATCCCAGCCAAATGCTGCTAACATAGGGCCAGAGGGGTCGAATAACGTGTATGGGTATTCTCTTGTCGTCCCTCTAGAATCCTCGAAACGAGTACAACATGTCCGAAAACCCACTTGAAGCAGATCCCTCTCCCTACTTCGAGGCATTGTTGTGGTTGTGGTGGTTCCGCAAACCGGTGGTGAACTTTGGTCGCCCCTGAACATGGGATCATGCCAGGATCCACAAACAGTGAGACCCACACCAGAAGCATGCCAGTCGGTAGCCCGATTTAGCCCCAATAGCCATGTCTTCACACCTTTGGTTCTTACTTCCAAGATCGGAAAGTTCTGCGCAGAATCTGAAGCGAAAGTTTGGACATGTCCTCGAATGAAGCCAATGAACCCCTGAACCCCGAGACCTTCCACCCTAAACCCCCGAACCTTAAACCGGAAACCCTGAAGCAAAGCCCAAGCAGAAGCCATAAGGCTGGTATGGCCTTCCTTGCCGCCGGAGGATCGCGGCTGGTAGGCGTGAGGATTTACATGCTTTGGTTGTGAAAACAGAGCTTACAACCTTAACAAGGGTTGAATATTTGTGTGCGGCATTTCACCGTTTGAAGTTTCAGATTCGGAGGCTGGCTTTCTTCGAGTTGACTAGAGAAGATGTTGATACGTCGGCCGGGGCGGTCTAAGTCGTTTGGGAGGTTGCTCAAAGGCTCACTACTGTCTCCGGACGATTGTCATGTCTGCGAGTTGCTCTCGACTTCATCGTGGTGGAGACCGGAGTAATGTCTGCGGTAGTATAGCTTGGAAGTGACATGGAGCAATGTCTCCTCGAAGATGAATGGATTACGTCTAGCGGGCTCGACTGTGGTTTTAGGGCCTGGGCAGCTGTAGGCATGACGGACTCGTGCGGATCCTTGCCTGCTGTGTGCAGGAGTGAGAATCGAAACCCTACACCCCCGGATCATGTCGCCTCCGATGGCAGGGGAAGCTTTGGTGAGAGCCGAAGTGAAAATCGAGGAGTCGGCGAAAGAAAAGCCGCTGAGGTGAGGCCGAAGAGAAGGATCCAAAGGGGACCCAGCAAGTAGGCTTTAGGGCTTTAGAGTTTAGGGCAAGTTTATGGGTTCAGGGTTTAGGGCTTGAGAGTTTAAGGCGAGTTCAGGGGTTTTGGGTTTAGGGCTTTAAGGGTAGTGTCGTAACCAGGGTAACTCGGAATAGTTGCTTTGTGTGAATTTAGATCAAGGAAGGTAACCCGGTGTTGCTAAAGCTTAATTACTAATTCCTGATGCTTCGAAAGCAGCCCACGATCTTCTGCAGTGCAGCAAAGAGACTTGGGCCACAGAGGTATTACCATGATCTATTTTACCAAGGGTTTAAGGTTTAGGGTTGGGACCTCCCTGGCCACACCTTGTGATGATGAAATATAGAAGCCTCCATAGTTGCCCAATATTGTTCCTTTAGGTTCCTTAAGCGCCAAAGTCCTCGTCTGACTATGAGTTAAGGCCCTTTATATCTAGATATATATATATATATATATAGATGTGTCCCTAAGATCTGCCTCCTATAGAAGTTTTCTTGCGGTGGGCTGCCTCAGTCGTTCCCTTGCGCGAAGTTTCTCTGCGAGATCAGGGAAGGAGTTAGGGTTTAGCGTTTAGGGTTTAGGGTACATAAACCTTAGCCTGTTGCAAAAAGGGTACATAAACCTGAAACCTATAACCCATTAACCCTAAGCCCCGAACCTTAAACAACAAGCCATAAGCCCATAAACCGGAACCCTATAAACGCCTAAATCCTATACCCTAAACCACGGAAAAAAAAAAAAACAACAACAACAACAACAACAAGGGCTGACGATGTCAGGTAGGTTTCTCGAGGTGCGCTCCTTCCCCTCGCCGTGAGACTCGTGGCGTCCGTTCGAACAAAGCTATCACCACATTGCTGATTCGTGTCGCGTTTGAAGTGGTGTCGCAGTGTAGTGTTCAGTTTGGCTGCGCTCCGGGCATAGATAGCTGTCATGAGCCGCAGCCACAGGTGCGAAATTTGAAGCGCAGGATACTATCGGTTAGTGGCCTCGCTCTCTTCGTGTGGATCAGGAACAGCGACTAGCAGCGATGTGTTATTGAAGGTGTCATTGCACAGCTCTTTTTGTCAAGAGGCCATTTCGTGCCAACTCTGTTCCACCAGGCTGCCTTACAGCCTACGCACAGCTCGGAGAGGTCGGTTTGCTATCGCACCGCCAAAGCCCAAACCCTAAACGCTATGACTCAATGACACTACGATCAGAAGGCCCGGGATGGGGCAATGTAGAAGCTCAAATAGTTACCTATATTATTCCTTGGGGTTCCTTATTATAACTATACTATCAAGGGGCCAAGAACCCTATTGTAGTTACTAAGGCCTCTACATTACTACGGTATAGTGGACCGGTCTGACGCGTACCATGTGCTCTGCCCCCATGCGGCAGACGGCCAGGGTGCTCCTGAACAAAGTGTCAGGCTATCGAATTCAAGAAGGAGTGGCATGTTTCAGAGTTTTCCTGGTTTTCGGGTGGGCTCCAGGCCCGTTTGAGGTTTCTTGCATATTTGGGGACTGAGGCATCAGACTTCAGTCATGCCTGGCATTTTGCAGGACCCCTTGGCTAGTAAACACGGAGGAGGGGGCCTTATGCACAACGACCGCCCAGTGGAAAAATAATGAGCTTTCACTGGCGTGGCTCGAGGAGGTGCTGTAGACATCCTTTCTGTGTTTTCCACGGGTCCTCAATCTAAACCCGAAAGACGATCCTTAAAGTCCCTACAGGCCGAGTCCGAACTGCGAGAGCCTAAAGATCCTCAGGCTTAAAGCTCGGCAGTATCAGTATAGCTCGTTCAGTTTGAGGTCATCACGCCAGCCTACGGTGGAGCGCAGGTACGCCTCAAAATGTCGTGTCGTTGTGGCGCAGTATTAGGGTTTAGGGTTTGGGGTCGGTCTTTGAATCGTGTCGGGGCCCTGCTTTAGGGCTCTTCGGCTGCAGGTTGGACTTGTGGCTTGTAAAATCCTAAACCCTATAAACCCTATAAACGGATATCGCAATCCCCCAAGATGGACCTTACTTGCCAACTTAATATTACGCATGAGAGCTTCCCTGTACCGGATACTTCCTTCAACTGCAACCCAAATAATGGCCTTAGGAGAAACCCCGACCATTGGCTTCATCAACAGGTTAGTTCATCCAGATGTAGCTGTGGGAACCCATGCAAGTCCCCTAAGTAAGTTAAAAGCCATGGCATCCCCAATACTTGTTACTGTTAATATTAATACATGTAAGCTAAGTACTGCCCAAGCATTTGCTTCGATGCTTGCCGTCATTGCCATGCTAATATTGAACTACACAACGAATTCCACTAAGAACCACGATCCTTGCTGTCTTCGCTCTGGCGTTCCCCAAGTGATAGCCCTTAGATTTTTAGGGATG